TAATACAGCAACCGGAAAGGCTAGAAAACTACAACTTTTGGAGGTGCTCCTATCCCATTTGGGCCCCTCTCGTTTTAAAATCACTGCTAATCTATACCCAGGTCTCATGCACGGAAACTTGGAAGAAAATACGGAAAATTTTTGATGAGGAAACAATTTATTTCGGAAACCAGGTAACATAAAAACCTTAAATTTCACAGGGATATTCTGCATTCTCAAACACAGCTATCACACTCGTCGGCGTTACACATACAATCACGTCAAGGTTGAAATCAACACATCGTTAGGAGCCGGGATTTCTGACTTTATGAGAATATTTTTCGTCTATGCGGGGGCATGTAGGCATAAAATGAGCACATGTGTGTGCTTTCGAACACGCCAAAAATATTTACAAAGAAAAGCGATTTCAACAAGCAGCTTTTTACGAGCTGAAATTTTACAAGCATATCCTATGCCTACGTGCAACTTTTATATTTCAAATTTATTTTAAAGCATGCCTTGGTTTCGCGTTTGCGCAAGTGAAAATTCAGTTTGGACATCCAATTAACTCGGTAATAGGACTGAGTGGTAATCAGCATTTTACTGAGAATATTTCTTATTCACATGATGAACAGCAAGCGCAAAATGGGCTTTAGTTACGCATGCATTCCGCATAGAAACGTACCAAATGTTAAAATTGCAACACACGTTCAAATTTCTCTCGGTAATCATAAAGGCAAGAAGGTTGAAATTGCGGTTCAAGATGCAGCCGATCCCAAAACTGAATTGTGCCTTTGCGCCTCCCCGACGTATCGAAAAACTCATTGCTTTCTAGTTTTCTCAAATCAGACTTATCTTCCAGCCTTCGTAAACCCAAAGCATCTACCCTACAAAAAAAAATCTGCTCGTGCACTTGCCTTGAAGATAAGTTCAAGCATGAAAGCTTCAGACTGTGCTCATAAAAAAAGTGAGAGTGCTAGACCTCCCAAGCCTTGCTATAAAAACCGTTCCTTCAATTTCTGTGCCAAAATAAAAGCCCACTGCCGCTCATTGTGATTTTATAGCCACCCGTGCCGGTGCCCTATCTCATCTTGTATATTATAA